ATCCCTGCTTATCATATCCATGTCTGGAGCGGCGGATCTTGGTGTCTACCGCAAGACATTGCTCTTGGTTTTTGCTGTCGTGGGGGCGGTATCAACCATGCTCTTTCTGGCCGTTGTCCCACAAGTTTATTTGCTCGGTGCGTTGCTCGCGATTGTCGCCAACACTTGCTTCGGTGCCTCATTTGTACTACTCAATTCCTTTCTGCCTTTGCTTGTTCGCCATCACCCCACCATTCAATCAACTCCGGTTCGTCGTTTGCTTGATGGTGATTATGATGATGATGATGATGATGTGCAATCTTCCAATGCACTTGTCGAGCCTGAATCTAACGAGAGTCTCCCGCCCGATCTGTCACCCACATTGCCACTACTTCAGGACGATGCCACTGTGCCCATTGACGACTCTCAGCTCAAATCCTCAAAAATATCAGCAGAGCTCCAGTTATCAACAAGGATTTCCTCTAATGGGATTGGTATTGGTTACATCGGGGCGGTTATTTTACAAATAACGTCAATCCTGATCATTGTTGCCACTGGCTCGACGACGTTCTCTTTGCGGTTGACTCTCTTCGGAATTGGACTGTGGTGGCTGCTCTTTACGATCCCAGCTGCTATGTGGCTCCGCCCTCGTCCCGGACCGCCTCTTCCAAGCTCCGCTAGAGATAGTAAAATGTGGCCATGTGTTAGTTATATCACGTACGCATGGAAGTCCCTCGGGCGTACAGCCCTGCAGGCCCGCCATCTCAAGGACGTTCTTATCTTCCTGGCGGTGTGGTTTCTTCTTTCCGATGGCATTGCCACCGTGAGCGGCACTGCTGTGTTGTTTGCCAAAACCCAACTGGATATGAAACTTGCTGCCCTTGGCCTGATCAACGTAATAGCAATGATCTCGGGGGTGTGCGGCGCGTTTTGCTGGAACTATCTCTCACGGCGACTACACCTTCGGGCCTCACAGACCATCATCGCTTGCATTTGTGTTTTTGAGCTCATTCCCTTCTACGGGCTTCTCGGGTTCATCCCGGCAATTAAACGGCTGGGTGTATTTGGGCTCCAGAAGCCGTGGGAGATGTACGTGTTGGGAGCCGTTTATGGCCTGGTGATGGGCGGGCTGTCTTCCTACTGCCGCAGCTTTTTCGGAGAGTTAATACCGCCAGGGTTCGAAACGTCCTTTTATGCATTGTATGCCATCACCGATAAGGGGTCGAGCATTTTCGGCCCCGCGATTGTTGGTCTGATTACTGATAGATACGGAGAGATTCGGCCCGCGTTTGGGTTTTTGGCGGTCCTAATTCTCATCCCGTTACCGCTGATGTTACTGATCGATGTGGACCGCGGGAAACGTGATGCTGCTTTCCTGGCCGATGAGTTGGAAGGGAGGCGTCGGGAAACTTCATAAGAGACTATTTCGTAGCACGCAATTTATAATATCCATAGAACAAACACTTTATATATGGTCTCACTCTCCCTTCCCCTTTTTTACGTGCTGGTTTAAGCTCAGTCGGCAAAAATCTTAACCCTTTCAGTGCCTTCGTCACGGATTGCTCTAAAGGCCCAGCTGAATTTTGGGCGAAGTTGGCACTATATAGGACTCAGAAGGCTATCCCTAGTTACTGGCCGTAATACATAACCTCAATAAATAACCTGTGCACGGGAGCCAGGCTCCTCTTGCAAGGTTATTTATTATTCTTAGCATTCCGCATGATATTGAGGGATATAAAACGTCCAAAAATTTCCTGGTGTTTGCTCTTCTCCTGCTGACCGCTGACCGCTGTCTTGTTCAGATGTTCTAAGGAAACGGAATGTGGAATTTATTGATTATAATATATTCCCTACTGTGTGTTGTGACTAAAAGAATCTATAAACAGACGCCCTGGATGAATAGCCTAGCTAAGAGGGCCGAAAAAGCACAAGAAGTGAAAAGCGACGAACGTTCCCATTGTCCTTCTCTGGAAATACACCAATCCATCTTAGGCTGAGTTCCCCCCCACCCATTCAACAATAGAAACTCCACGCTGAAAAAGCCCAGATAGTAAAATTTACAAGTAAAAACAATGTGGTGGTGATGATAATGTATCTCTCTCCCTCTGGTAGTGTTCCATGCTTTTT